CACATAAATCATAGTCAGTGCAAGCCTCTTCTACCTCAACTTCATCCTCAGCCTGGACGCCAATTGCTTCTTCAACCCCCCTTCCTTCCTCAGAATTTGATTCCTCTCCTGGGAAAAGATCAAGAACTTACTCTAATTCACTTTCCTCATCCTCCATAACTTCTTTCCTCATCCTTTATCGCTCTTCTTCTTCTAGCATGGATTGGAGAGCAAGTCGCCACGCAATCTTTTCAATAAAATCAGCTTGCATCTCCTCACGCATGCCCGCCTCATCAACGCTCAGTGTGGGATGCGAAAAGGTATGGTCGGCTACAATAGGACATTTCTGATCATGATCATCGCGGGAGCTCTTCGTGACAACTTCTGTATGCTCCATGACATCCTCATGATTGACTTCTTCTTCCTCCTTCTTTGCTTGTATTGTATCAAAAAGGTTGTCTTGAGAAAACTATGCAGAAGCTTTCTCAATGACCTCTATGTGTTTCTTTATGCTCCAAAGGGTCTCCTTTGTTTCACGGGGAAAAGAGAAGTCAGTTTGGGTAATGACCTGGATATGAGGATCCATGTCGGAAAAGGATCTATCAGGTACTCGAGCAATCTGCTCCACGAGAAGCCTCAAGTGATAGTTTGGATCTAGCTGTGGAGTGTAGCATGGCTCTGCCGGATGGCCCGTGAAGGCTGTGGCTAACTCAAGATCTCATGGCCCTTCTGGTTATGGGAGGAATTCTTCTTGATAAGGAGATTGTTCTTGAAATACCCAGGGGTCTGGTTGCTCTTCATAGTAGGGGGTTGGTACTAAAACCCGACTCCATAGTCTTCTCCTCCTTGGTTGCTCCAGGAAGTCTCGGGGTAATACCACTCGGGTGGTGGTGGATACTCCCAATGATTGGAGAAGCCATGAGGATCCATGTTTCATATCTGCACCAACAAAAACAGAACAACTAAGTGAAACTCAAGGGTGGAAAAGAAAATAAAAATACTAAAATAACAAACTTCTGCCTTTCCTAATAATCTAGAAAGTCCCCGGCAACGGCGCCAAAAACTTGACTCGCTAAAACACAACTCCTTACAATGGCCAAGTGTAACCAATGAAAGGGACTGCAGTATAGTGACACAAGTAATAAATATCGAATCCACGAGTCTATAGAGTTACTATTACTCAGCTTCAGTTCATTATCTAGCAAACTAGATTAATGATTGCTTTACTAAACTACTCTACTAATTACAGGTTGGGAACTCACTTAGCTATGATTCCCCCCAGCTCCTCAATTAGGTCCAAGTTGTAATTCCTTTTGACTGTTTTACTGCGGAAGATCCTAAATTAGCTTGGAATCTCTTAAGCTGACCAAACACTCTTAGACAGAATACCCGACAGGCGACTAGCCTTCACCGAGATAGACTGCTAACGGGATTCACACAGGTCTCAACTACTGGAATGAATTCCAGTACAAGGCAGTGAATTGATTGACTCTTGCACAGCCAATTCACTACTATCAATCAAGGAAGCTCTCTTAACCTAATTAGATTCTATCTATCATAGGTTAAAGAAGAAATCAAGAGAATTTGATCAGGATTCAATTGACTCGATAAATCATGCCTCAATCGATTATAATCACAAAATATAGCATCCAAAACTTCATACAAGAAAGATCCTAACACATGGAATTAGAGATCCTCACAAAATAGAGAAGAGAGAGAATGTAGAAATCTTATCTATATCTTCAATCTCCTTTTCCAAGCTAGATTCTTGAGCTCCAATGGCGAAAAAATCCTCCAAAATAGCTCCTAGAATGTTCTCAAGTCGCTCTCTCTCTCTCTCTCTCTCTCTAGGGTTTGTCTCTTGGGTGTTTGAGACCAAACCCAGCTCTCTCTCTCCAAAAATTGCAAAACAGCCTTTATACCCGAAGCTGGAATTTTGCACCACCAGTATGCACGGCCTCGCAACTTCCTTGTCTGCCCGTGCAACCCAAAATGCAGCATCTGAATAAGTTCCGCGATTGGAGTGTACGGCCAGCGCACAGCCCGACAATCCAAGACCCTGACCGTGCAGCTTCTCGCATAATTCATCACGGCCAGAGACTCGATTGTGCACGGCCGTGCGACTTGCACAGCCACGATGCACGGCCATGCGTCTTCCCAGACTGGTCGTGCAACTCCATCAGCTCTTCCTCGCTCGTCCCGTCTTTGCCCAATCGACCCCGAACTCGTGCTCAAACCTTCATTCACGCATTAGTACATGAAATGTCATAAACAAGAACAACCTAGCGTAAAATTGGCTTAAAACACGAGATCCGACCCTCAAACAACATAAGGATTATGGACAAAAACATGTGTAAATATAGAGTTATGAAGCTTGCCTACAATTATTATAACTTTATGGCGGTGAATGCTTGTTCAATATTCTTTAATTTAGTTTATGTGTGTGAGAGTGATCTTAAATATATGAGCTAGTTGACTTATTTATTTATATTTTGCAATATAAATTTACGGTTAGAAATTTTTTATCAAATTTATAGAATGTTTTAAAGCTTACGTTTACGATTGGCTTTTGCGCTTCCACTTTTACCCATTATTTCGCTTTTGCATAGAAGCTAGACTTTAATTACGTTAGCAATACGCAAGTCACGGTTGCACGTCACAGTCAGACATTGGACGGTAAATAGTGACGTCGAACCAAAATGCATCATATAATTTACACGGGTCACGTTCTCTTTTTAATTGTTGTAACACTTGGTACCTGGCATTTTTGGGTAGGGGTGGTAATCAGTCGGTATCCCATATACCAGATAACGACAAGCCGGTATTCGGTATACCAGCAATTGAAATTTTGTCGCCGAATACCAATATCGAAATTTATTCGGTATACCGAATGCCGAATACCAATATCAAAATTTAACTGGTATAACGGATACCGGATATATCGTTTTCTTCCAAAACTACAGTCATTGAATTGTGAGTTCTACATTAAAAAAATGGACAGCTTTATGGGCAAACAATTTACTCTGAAATCCCAAATTCAGAAAGCAACAAACTTTAAGAAGAACACGAATACTGGACTTCACTGTTTTGAAATTATACTGACCAAGACTGAACGTAGCCATGCCGACTTGCCGAGCCCTCCATCTGATAGAATCGAAATGGACTTCGCTATTATAGCAGGCATTGCTACATGCCACCTGCAATCTAAAACCAAAACCCCACCACCATTAATAACCCAATCAATCTATCATCGATCAAACCAGTGTCATTATCTAAATCAAACCCAGAAAAACATTTGAATGAAATGATAATGAACCAAGGCCTAGATGGTATAGAGTCGGGAACAAACCTGAAGGAGACGAGGGACCAGATAAGACCAATCAAGCTGGAGTAAGTGTTGGATTCCTGATCAGCTTCCTCCACACCATATCAGAATCAGCCTCGTCATCACGCTTGTTGGGGGCATAGCTTTCGCCCTCCCATTACCAGCAGCAACCGTCGCGGCTCAGACGTAGCATTCGGTATTCCGGTATACCGGATTGTCGTCGGTATATTACCGGGTTTTATCTGGTATACCGTTATGCCAAATCACACCATCGAATACCGATGTCGCCTGTATTCGGTATACCAGATCGGTATCCGGTACGGTATCCGGTAATACCGAAAACCGGTTTACCGATTACCACCCCTATTTTTGGGAATGCCCAAATTACCTCTCAATTGATGGCCGTGATTGCTTATGAAATTAATTATAATCAAGTACTATAATTAATTTTGTTATTACTTTAAGTTAAGGAAACCCTAAGCTAAACCCCACCCAACTGTTTTCCCTTCATTCATTTGGACAGCTGGACTCCTCCTTCCTTCGTTGTTTTTCCCTGCCTCTCCTCTGCATTTTCAGAAACATCAATTCCCAGAGAATCAAAGCAACCACAAGAGATCAGAGAAGAAAAGGGGACTAGAGATGTGGAGAGAAGAAAGGAATCAGGTGGCTGCAGATTTTCGTGGCTGCAGCAGGACAATGAGTTCAAGGGGAATTCCAGAAAAATAAACCGTTGGATCAGTCTCAAATTTGATTGTCCGGTTCCTGACTTCCTGATCTTCGATCCGATGGTAGGGATTATTGTTCTAATTCTGTTTCAGATGGAAATGATGTTGGAAGATATTTATAAATTTATAAATATGTAAAATTATATCAAATATCATCTAACAAGTGGGTTAATGATACAATCGGTCTAGCCTAGTTTAGCACGATTTAGCCACATATGAAAAAAGTCATTACATTGTTTATACATATATAAATTATATCAAACTCATCTAACATATGAGTAATAATATATAACATTACACAAAAATAATAGTTCGTACTTGAATCCCACATATAGTAAAAATTCAAACATACTTAAATCCAACATATAAGTTCGTGATTGACACTTTGAATGAACTGAAACAACCTAACGAATATACATAGAACTCGTAATTAGAAGAGTTGGAACCCATCACTTGTGTTTTTACTCCAAATGGTTGAAGCCAGTTTTGTTAGGCTTTGACCGGGTTGAATCTGGTTTTGCGGGATTTTGATGGTGTTGAAACGTGTTTGACGAATCCGGACAAATTTTAAAACAACTGTGTGGCGTTTTTCTCCACTGAGTTCAGGTTAACCCGGGGGATCGGCCCGGTTATCAACATTGGTTGTGAACCATTTATTTGAATTAAAATTAATGGACAGCTCACAATCTGAAATCTGTAGAATTTCGTAGGAAATAAATTGGTACCCTCCGCTCGATGAATAATAGTCCACGCGTATCCATCAGAATCTGTTCATGCATTTGTTTTATAATTTGTCCAATCCACAATTCGAAATTGGGAAAGTGAGGAGAAGCCAAAACCTAGGTATGGAAATGCAATAGCAAACAGAAACCGGGTCGGATCCGGCAATTGGGCAACAGCCGAAGCCCAGTTGTCAGCCAGAAGAGTCCGGTAGCTGCTGCCAATTTTGCCCCAACATACAGCAATTTATTAGTAATATAAATAGCAGGCAAGAACGAAAAATGGCGACAAGCCACGACAGAAGACCAATTCGGGAGGCAGTAACAAGGAAAACCAGAGGGAGAGAATGAGTGGGGTTACAGCTTCCCCGCAAATACTTAGCGCCTTTCTTCCTCAATCCACCAGCTCCCTGCCCAAACCAGCCATCGCCACCTTCAAGCTCACTAAACGCAATACCCAGCTGGCCCTGAGTTCCGCCGGAGCGCGCCGCGGAACCAGCTTGAGATGCAGCAGCGGCGGCACCGACCCCGGTTCTGGTACAACCAGAGACTCTATCTATATTTTCTCACTTCATTTTCTTCCTTAGATGTTCAATTTTCGTCTGGGTTTCCTTCAAGTTTTGTTGAATTCCGAATCGGGTAGACTGGAGAATTTTGGTTGTTTTGCTTGTGCGGTGAAATCTAAGGTTTTGGTAACAAATTGTTACGTAGATGCGCCGTAGGGGCGGAAATCTACGTTCTGGATCTTTACTTCTCCGGACTTTTGGATACGTTGCTCGATGCTCTCGAGTAGAGGATCTCCTTAATGGCGAGAACAACCCCAAAATAGCTACGAAACTACTAAACTGAACGAAAGTAATAATCAAAGTGACAAAACATAAATTGGGTTCCAATCTTCTCATGACATTAAACGAACGAAACAAGTACATATTTATAGGCATAGAAGCCTCTACCTTTTTCTATCTAGAATATAACTCCTACTCCGCTAAGAACACGACTAACAATAACCTAAACCAACTTGAACAAGGAAAACATTAATTAAGAGAATAATAAATAAGACCCAATAATATCCAAATACGAACTAATAAGAAAAGATACGCTAGCCCAGTAATTAATGAAATGCTACGATGGCTCGATCTCGTAACATCCCTCCCCCCTTAAGCGCAACCTTGCCCTCAAGGTTGGTAAAATGTTCATACTTGTTTCAACCTGGATCGATGTAAAAGAAGCTCCTTCTACCCTTGCGATAGAAGATAACGAAAGTTGGACGGCAATTGCGCCTTCGATATTTCCAATTCAGCTTCAATATCCAATCCAATCCTCCCACGCTAGCAAATCCAAGTCTTCCGAATGTTTCTATACCCGGATCGAAGCATTGGAACGGAACTCCCATGGCATAAATGTTACAAGCTCTTTTTATGCAAAGAACTAGCATGCCACGTGCACCTCTCCCTTCAATTTCCATGCTTTCTTGTACGTGCTTCCCACACTGGCCATTAATATCCCTCCACATATGAAGAACTTCGTTGGCATTATTGTCTTTGGACATCTGTTGCTTAAACCTCTTCACGCCAACATCGACGGTTGGTTTCTTTTCAGTTGTTACGTTCATCTTTACGCCGTACTTGAAGCTATCGAAGGGAGCATTGGCCGTCCCTCCACCCAGAGAATCAAATTCAGAACTTAACGGATTAACACCATACAATAAAGCTCCAATTAATCCGCCCATAGTCGGCCCAATGCATCCTTGGACAAAGCCTCGGCTTCTCGCAACTCCGTGGTCTTCTCCGCGCCTTTTCCTATACTTCCAATTGGGTTGAAGCTTCTCAAACGAACTTGTACCAGTAATATTAGTTGCAGTAATGACCGTGGCAGGCGGGGCTTCCTGAAAACTCAACAACGACTGCGACGGCTTGGAAATAAGAAGCTTCTCAACAGTGGCGGCTTCTTGTTGCTTCGACAATGATAGCATAGAAATCACACCTTCCTCGGCTGCTGCAGTCCTCGCAGAAACAGTAGCGGTGCTCCGTCGTTTCTTCCGCGTCTTCCAATTGACGCAATGGCCATGGAGCGAGATGAATGGCTTACCGGCGTCGAGTTGTGATCCACTATCCCTTCCCTCGATTCCGTTGTTGGCGAATGAGAACATAGGCTCGACAATAAAGGGGCTTTGCTCGTTTCCTAGCCCAATCCGTGGTTCAACACCGACATGAGAAGGCAACTCCTCCCCATCACGTTCCCTTGTGGCGCGGCCTAGTGGAACAGGAGCTCCCAACGGCGATGGTTGCGGAGACGGTGCGAGATCGAGGACAACAACTTCTTCTTCGTCCCCACTCTTCATCTCCTCGGCTAGAGCTCCAACCTGCGGCGGCGATAGCTTGATGGTAGGTTCACCCACAGCAAGGACAACAGCAGCACGTCTCGATCTTTTCTTCCTCTTCTTCCTCCGGTAGAAGCGCTTTCCCGTGTTACGACGATCGGTTGCATAAGGGCAGGTCGCAACGTCATTGTTGTTTGTCGCAACATCATCATGACTTGCCGACGGGAAGATAGATCCCTCTGGCTGGTGGCGTGAGATGGCGAGCTCTACCAGCATCGGAGAAGGTAAAGCTAGGGCTAGCTTTTCTTTTGGCGATGGTTCGACGAGACCATGGGTGAGCGGTATTGACGATGCATCTTCCTGATCGCCTCGATCCACAACAGGGGACGCCCTCGAGTATGAACTTTGTGGTGTTGCTGGCGGCGCCGTCTGAACTAGGGCTAGTTCCTCACCGGTGGCTGGTTTCACTGAGGTCAACATCGTCGGAGCTAGGGTTAGCTCTGGCGCGACGATGATGATTGGTGCCGTAGCAAAGGTTTCCAACTCAACAGGTGGCAACTTCATGGAGTCGATGCGATCGGCGCAAAACCTCTCCACATATCGGTTCCACGTAGCGACCAATTCTCTTGCTTGAATACCTTCAATCATCATGGTTTTGCGGTGCCGGAGAACCAGGCTCTGATACCAACTGTTACGTAGATGCGCCGTAGGGGCGGAAATCTACGTTCTGGATCTTTACTTCTCCGGACTTTTGGATACGTTGCTCGATGCTCTCGAGTAGAGGATCTCCTTAATGGCGAGAACAACCCCAAAATAGCTACGAAACTACTAAACTGAACGAAAGTAATAATCAAAGTGACAAAACATAAATTGGGTTCCAATCTTCTCATGACATTAAACGAACGAAACAAGTACATATTTATAGGCATAGAAGCCTCTACCTTTTTCTATCTAGAATATAACTCCTACTCCGCTAAGAACACGACTAACAATAACCTAAACCAACTTGAACAAGGAAAACATTAATTAAGACAATAATAAATAAGACCCAATAATATCCAAATACGAACTAATAAGAAAAGATACGCTAGCCCAGTAATTAATGAAATGCTACGATGGCTCGATCTCGTAACACAAATGATTTGATATGCAGAGGAGAATGAGAGCAAGAGTGTACTGGATGCCTTCTTCTTGGGGAAGGCTCTAGCGGAAGTGCTGAACGAGCGGGTTGAATCCGCCGTCGGCGAGATTATGAGTACTATTGGCAAGCTTCAATCTGAGCAGCAAAAGCAAATACAAGGCTTCCAGGTAAAGCCCACGACCTCACTGCCTCTCTCTCTCTCTCTCTCTCTGTTCTTCTTGCTTCCCGCTCACTCTCTCGTTTCCAGTCCCTCCCGTTGTAACTTAACAGCAGGATTTGACTAAGCAGACATTCTTGTTCCCTTGTTATCTTTTCTTGTGGCAGGAAGATGTGATTGGGAGAGCCAAGAAGGCCAAGCAAGAAGCTGCACAGACTACTTCAGTAGTTGAGGCATCAACTGATGATGGTGAACTCCAAACTTTGGAGGTGGAGGTGTTGACAGGCGAATGAACCTTTTTCCTAGGATTACATCTTCAGTCAGCCGCGGCCCCATCGTCATCTATTTAAACGTCTTTCCTTCTACAATTTTCCCTTTCCAATTATATAGTAGTTCGGTTGTGTTGTGTTGTGTTGTGTTACTACCGTGTGTGTAACTTCTTCATTCACACTCTCTTTTTCATATGAAATAAAATATATCCAAACCAAATCTCTCTTCTTGATTAGATCGGTAGCTGAAAAAACCAATAACAAATCGATTGGTCGGTCGGCTGCAGTCATACATATTACAAATATGGAACTGAAAAAGGCAGTCTGCTGGTTTAGATACGCTCAAAACTGTAGGCATTCATTGATTGCCAAACCCGCCGTGCTTTCCATCAAAAAACAAATCAAAAAGGAGGGGGCTCAGGAGATTATAGTGTGGCTCTCTCCTTCAAACCGATCACTCATCATCCGGAAACTGAACATCAGCCATTGGCACCTTTCCTATTATCTGGTGGCCATCATCGTCCTCGTCTTCTCCATCGGCATCCATGGCTGAACCCTTCTTATAATCAACTTTAAAGTCATAGTCATCATTGTCGGCATCCATGGCATCCACTTTGGTAGCTTTTTTCCTCCGTTTCTTCTCGGCTTTTTTCATCTTGTTGTTCACCATGCCTTCTACGGCATACAGCTTCTCGTTTTGTCTGGAGGTGGCATTCTTTGAGTTGGTCGCCTTGCTGGCATCTCCAGCGTCGGTACCCATATCTTCGTCATCTTCACCTTCCATCATTTTGTCAGAGCGCTCTTCAGCTCTACCTGATGCTTCAGGTTCGAGGTTTTCCTAATATGCCATGAATAAGATCAGCAAAAGGGCACAATCAATGCCTGATGTGGATTCTCATATTGAAATTATTGATACATTTGAAAGCTCTTTGTTCTAAGCTCCTAACTAAACTAACTATTTCCAACCGAGATCATTCAGTTTCTATATATATTTTAGGGATTTTAACTTTCAGAGCACGGATATTTGACTGAGTTAGACGCTTTGAAACAATTCCAATGAAGTTGCTGCATGGAAGTGAAGAAAACTATGAAATCCAAAAATCCCAACGGGGTATTGAGAGCACCAACCTCTAACATGCTCTCATCAAAATTGAGGGGGCTGCTTGAAGGAACTTCAACAGGAAGGAAGTCATTAACAGACTTCAGACTTCCAATAAATGAAGATTCACCATTGTAGGCTTCATCAATATTAAACTCCTTGCCTAGCTCGGAAACAATCTTTGCCTCTGAAGCTTCTTCCTGATTCCTGGTTGGAGGCATGGTATAATATGGAATCTTCCCTGGGGACCAAAAAAATTATGTCACTATTCAATTGAAGCAGAGTTGAGAGTATTCTCCAAAATCACAGGCCATTCTATAGTTGATCATATCATGAAAATGAAGTAGAAACAACTATTCCACATCTTTATACCAGTATTCCAATCATGCAGGACAATTCTAGCTGCAGCTTCAATGTCAACTATACCACCCTTTTTTAGCCGCCCTCTTACTGTAGCAACGTTTTGCAGGAAATCGTCAACTGTATCAAAACTTGGGATCTTGTATAGTGTCACCAGCAGCCTTTCTGGACAGCGCTTGATAATTTCTTTCACTGCATTGGAAAGAATAAAATGTAATTAGCAATTCAAACAACAAACTGAATTCTATATTCACTATGTTTGATCCTGATTTGACAACATTGGCACTAGTATCTCCCAACCATATGATTTTGGGGAATAAACAATGGGAAATAGTTGATTCCTCAAAGTTCCTAAATCACATTAGTTTTCGTTTTTTAAAACAAAATGTCCGTAACCCTACAATTATACAAGATGATGAACAGTGACACAGAAAAGTGTAACAAATGAGGTTTAGTGAAACACAACCTTTTACATGGATATATTTATGTCAAAGGAAAACATCAGACAACACATATTGAAGAATTTTAAGTTTCACAAACTAAAATGTTGGAAAGTATTTTGATGCACTATAGTCCTTAAAGCAACATCAACATAAACAAAGGTCCAATTACCTGGACTGACGGGATCATCTAACTTTTCGACTCGTTTGCAATTTCGAAGGGCAATAGATGCATCATTTTCCTGAGATTTAAGCATGACGACACCCGGACAGTCTACCAATTTAACATTCTTGTCCAATTGAACCTCTTGCAATGATCTTGTCAATCCAGGGGTGGCACCAACATTTGCAACATGGCTTCTCTTCAGACTGTTAATGAGACTGCTCTTACCCACATTAGGTAGACCAATAATACCTACTGTTATGGATTTCTTGATCTGCAAAAGGTTACGCATTAAAACCAATGCGAGCGTTTGTATGTGAACAACATGCTATAAGATCCAACACATTCAAATAGAAAGATAGATATTAAGAAACATGAATAAGCTCCTACATCATGACTCCTAGAGTAATTTTTCAGCAACTTAATGAGAGTGTCAGCTCCAAGACAATCACTTGTTTGCAGAAGATTGTTTGGTTTTGCTGTCTTTGAGGAAGATTTCCAGCCCAAATTCGACCTCTGCTCTTGAGTACTACACTTGAAGGCAACTGCTGGTAGCTCTTCCCTCAGGTACTTGAGCCATTTTTCGACTGCTTCTCGCGGAACAAGATCTGGAACAAGTGAAACAGTAAACTCAGCAAACCAGAAAAATCAAATGTCTTTATGGAATGAAGAACATAAAAGCGCTAATACTTATACAAGAAAAGGGAAACTAAAAAAAGCTTACCAATTTTATTCAGAAGCAATACGAGATGCTTCTCGGGACCTGATTTCATCACCATCTTTTCCATATCAATACAACGGGTGCCTAATGGATCTCTGGCATCAAGAACTTCTAAAATGACATCTGATACTTCAATGACTTTAACCAACTCCTTATAGAATACTTTATCTGAACTATCTGTGGAAGAAAAAGAAATCCCAATCAGCTCACAGCAAATGGGGGGGATAGACTGTACATTCACCCATTTCTGTTGCCCTTGATTCATTTCCCAAAAAGCCATTCCAACATATCAAACATACCCCGGTTTCTTGCGACTTCAACCACCTGCTTCCTATCCACCTCCGCAGGTTCCATCACAGCAGTATCATCCTCCTCCAGTATGCCCAATTTCCTCTTTCGAGCCTGAAAGTCGTGTACACAGCCGATTAACATGGGTATTTCATTATTCATAAGAGATTACTGAAAATGTGACAAATCATTACATCAACTTGACAGATATTCAGTCTTTCATCTGAAAAACAGCAAATCCAGTACACCTAAACTAAGAGCTTATGATTTTACCCGTTCCTTGCGCTCAGCTTTCTTCCGTTCCAGTTCCTCTATAGCACGAGCACGACGAACTTCAAGGGCCTTGAGCTCCTGTTCCTTAAAGGGCCAATCATTGGGAATCCCCGGGTCTTTCTCGACCTTCTTCTTACCAGTACGGGCCAACTTCTTAGCTTCCTTGGCCTTCTTCTTATGATGCTCCTTCACCTTCCGGATAACCTTGTGCTTCTTCTTCAGCGTCACCCTCTTACTCTTACTCTCTACAAGTAAGACAAAAAGAAATTTACATGACGAAAGTTGGAGTTACAATGCTTTTTCGAACAGAAAATATAGAATCATAAAGTTGTGCAACATATGGTCTCGCTTACTCTTGCTCTTCTTCACCATGATGGATTCTCACCGGCAAGGGCGCGAGGGATGAAGAAGGCTGATGGAAAGGAAACTGGATATTGTGGAAGCTTGTAGGCTTGCAGCTTCTTCCCCTTCCGGAAGCTGGCGATTGGGGACGAAGAAGAAGGCGGTTTTGACTTTTGATTAGTAATTCTTCTTTGCTAGGGTTTTTGATGGGGAGAAGAAGAGAACAAACGGAGCCCTACTTTGTTTTCAAGGAAACCTGGATTTGTATTCATCAAGTTTTTCGGCCCAAAAAGTCATTAACATTATCTAGATCACGAAAGCTAAATAAGTGCAATGGGCCCCCGTCCACCCACAAAACACTTGAGCCCCAATTAGTCTCCGTATGGGCAAGCTCATGCGCAACTGGCAAGACAGTTCGTGGTGCGCGGGGTGAACAGCCACAGAGGCTTTGAGCCCAAATTCCCCTCATTCTCCCCATGAATTTTGCCGGGCTAATTACAAAATTGGTCACTGGGATTAAAAAAAACGTTCATGTTTAGTCACTGAAAATATTTAATTCCAATCTTCGTCACTTAGATTAGTTAAATGGTTCAAATTTGGTCACTCTCCGTTATCTTCCGTCAATCTCTGTTAACACTGTCAGTAATATGCTGACGTGGCTAACAGACTCGCCTAATCATCTATTTTTAACAAAAACAAAATAAAATCCAACTCTGACACATCATAAAAACCTCCCACATCATAAAAAATTAGTGACCTCACCCACCCCAAATTATAACCCAAGTTTGACCAAACCGTAAAATCCCTAGCCTGTCGATGGAGAAGAGGACCGGAAGAAGCTAAAGTCGCCGCCCTCATCCAATCCATCGGTTTCCCTCTTCTCATCCCTCTCCTATTCTTCTTCCATCGATAGAAACATCACCTCGCGAGCGGCACCATCTCCGCGGGTGGTTGCCGCTGATCTACCTTGATTCATCCTTTGTTTCCAGCCTCTCCTCCGTCAATGGCAGCTGGAGAATCTACTCAGCTCCCAATTCTTCCCTCACCATTGATCCCACTCCCCTCTCCAATCTGAATGAGCAACGATAGAGCGCCACCTTCAACTCCCTCCTCGCTGCCCTTCGCTCTTCTAGAAGAGAACAAGTTAGGGAGAAGTAGATCCATCATTCGGTGGGACTAGGGATTTTTTCCATTTAGATAAAATAGATGAAGAAGAACCCAGAATTTCTAGTTGGTTGGCAGGGGAGGAATCTGCGTTACAGGAGGGGAAATAACGCCTAGGACGGGAGTGGTGGGCAATCAATGGATTGGGGGCAGAGGGCAAATCTCCGAGCAACACGAGGAAGAGGAGGTTCTTCAGCCACTACCACCTCGTCGTCCTCGTCCTCATCATCAGCGGGGAAGAGACAAAGGAGGAAGGACGGGTCATCATGATAACACATAAGCTAGGTGTTGATCCCTCAATCCGAACTTGAAGAGCCAAGTTCTTCAACGCGACCGAGAAATCGAGTTTCTAACACATAAGCTAGGTGTAAATAGAATTCAGAATTGAAATAAAAAGTCACATTTGCTATCATACTGAATCCAGGTCCTTAATATAATCATGGCTTCTACTGTTGAAGGATCAAGTTTGCTTCGATGGGGATCAAGAAGCCTCCCACCGGAACTAAAAGCAGATTCAGATGCAACACTTGTAACAGGTACAACAAGTAAGTCCCTTGCAATGTCTTGAAAAATGAGATACTTAGCACCATTGAATTTCCTCCAACCCAATAAATCGAAATCCGGTGTTCTAGGATGAACATCCTCAGCTAGATAATGATCTAACTCAGTGGTTACTACAGATGTTCTGGTTTTCTTTCTTTGGCTAGCATACAGATCAAAATCTAGATCTGTGGCTGAAGAAGAAGGATGAATACTAGAAGACACATCAATTTTTTGGTTGCTTTTCTTTGATACTCAACAACCAAGTCAGCAACAACCGATCTGACCCTTTCAGTCACTAGATCAGTACTAGTGATACCGAATTTTCCAGCATAGTAATCAACTAGGATCGAAATTGCCACAAACGCCTAAAGGAAACGGGGTAAAACATGTACAATTAAGCCCGAATCAGCTAGATTATTGAGCAGTTATTTAGGTATAGTTTTTCCAAATCACTTGCTTAACAGTTATCCAGTTAACTGACCATAATTGAACACCGACTACACGATTACGGTTAACCAACTAATATAAATAACAGTAAACATAAAATACTTAACGGTTAATCGAGATCTAACTAATTAGTTTCGATTATAAACTAACCAATCAATTGGCATCGTGACTAATATGTGAAGAATTTGTGAGGTAATGCATACCCTATGAGGCAGAATAATTTTTTTTAGGATAAACAAAAATGCCACCAATATAAATTTGAAGTCAATTTTATGGGATATTTGTGAGGGGAGGGAATTGAAGTCAATTGCGACATGGAATTTTTTATTCAAATAAACGAACCATTTTTACATTCAAAAACTAACATCCAATCTCGGGGAAGAAAAGGAAGTCCATCAACAGAATACCGGTCGGGTAAGCTACCAAAGAAAATAGCGGTCGGGACGGGACTCGGGAGTTGCCTTGAAAAATGCAAACCATGGGTCAAACAGCCACGTGTCGCATGTCCATTGGGAAGACGCTTCTAGAGCATAATAGAAGAAGAGTTTCGCTTTTCCGAGCTCTCCCGGGGCTTTGTTTCGTTCCGTAACCGAGGGCCCAAATTACCCCCTCGCAGCTCCACACTATAAAATCTCTCGCCCATCCCCAATTCCTTTCCCTGTATCTTGACTATCTTCTCAACCTACGTGGCATCAGCTACCCTCTACTTTCTAGTTTCTCCTCCACCGTAAACCGCCTGAGATAGCCCCGCTTAAAGAATCCCCGGCGACGTTACCCCGAATTTTTCCAGGTACGCCGGTTACGTTAACCTCTTCTGCCGCTCTTGTTTCCCGCTTGGTCTACGGTGTTTTCGACGTTGCCTGTGGGATTAGATCTGTAATAACGGAAGGCGGATTTTCTTCTGTAAATTTGGCCGGCTGTGATAAACTTCGCGCGGAGAAACACTATCTTTCCGGTGCCCGCATGTTGTTTGCACTGCGGTGTTGGAAATGTGACTTTTGGGTTTCCGATTTCTCTGTGATCCTGGCAGGCGTAGCGGAGAAGGGTTCGCCTGGTTTGTTGTTAATCTACCGATTCGAAGCTCCCTCTTTCAAGGCATTTCCCCAGGATGGCGGAGGTAAGTTGTCGTTTTTGCTTTAGAGTTGAGGCGGCTTCTCCTTTCGATTTGTTTTCTGGGCTGGATCACTAAACTCAGGAAATGGTCTCAGGAAGGGCACAGGGTTACCTTGAATGTGTATGATCTCAGTCAAGGACTGGCACGTCAGCTCTCCACAACATTCCTTGGGAAAGCAATTGAGGGTATTTGGTTAGTACATCAACTTTTACCGATCTATGTCTAATTCTATTGGGTGCGGGGTGCACAGTCCATGGTGGATAGTGTAAGTTCTTGGGGAAAGATCTTTATTTCGACCATCTGCTTGATGTTATGGGGATTACTATCAAAACGTATCTGGAGCATTGGTCTGATTCTGGCTGTTTTTATTCTGCCCCGCTACTATTGGTTCTGTGAAAGAATGGTGCTTGTGTGCTGAAGTTGCATAGGAGTTTAAGGATCTTGAAATGGAGGTGGATATGGAAAAGTCCTGCATAACTTTAGAGGAATACACATGTTGGATGCCTTTAACCTTTAGTAGATGCAAAAGTAGAAGAAAAGGCATTGCATTATTGAGTGCACAGCAGCTTAGCTTGCTAATATTCTTGTCTAAATCTAGCGGCAGCTGGTCGGGAGAGTCTATTTCCGGACCTACTAGCGTGCTGAATGTGGTGTTAGCTAGTCTCAGTTCGAACCTCTTACTTGCCAGTATCACAGTTTGTGGTTAGAAGTGCGGCTCCAAATTCTATTCCTCATTTGTTGACATTGCAGGCATACAGGAGTAGTGGTGTTCGGCAATGAATACTACTTTGGGGGAGGCATACAGAAGGACTCTGCAGGAAGGACTCCATATGGAACACCGATCAAAGTCGTAGAGTTGGGAGTCACACATGTACCCCAGGATGTATTTGAAATGTATTTGGATGAGATTAGCTCTCGCTACACGGCTGAAACGTACAGTTTACTCAAACACAATTGTAACAATTTTAGCAATGAGGTTGCACAATTTTTGGTTGGGGCATGCATTCCAGACTACATTCTTCAGCTTCCTAATGAAGTTATGAGCAGTCCTATGGGTTCTCTAATATGTAAGTTGCTCCCTTACTCTCGTTTCACACCTCTCTTTAGCTGAGGAAGCGTGACGTTATTCCATTCCATTTTGCATATGTTTGTGTTATATAGATAGTCTATCACCTCGATCAGTCCGATCTGCGCAGTTTCAAATTGTTCAAAAATCTTTCGTAGGCCGGAGTTCTAATTGTGAACCATGTTTCATGTTTTGCCTAGTGCCCATGATTCAGAACCTAGAGTCGACACTGAGAGCAGGGGCTGTCCCTCAAGCACCACAATTCAGGCCCACATTGTCTAGCCAGCAAGCACAAACTGCAAATACATCCGCAGCTAATGGTGCTTTATCTTCTTCTGGACAAGCTGCATCTGAGGAGTCTGGAGATAAAATCATGTCAGAAAACAAGACTCTATCAGTTAACACTGTCCCTCCTGCCATTGAGCCTTCCAAAAGCGAGAAGAGAGCCTCTGTTGCCGATCCTCTTGGAGATGCGAGAAGCAAAGTGCAGGATGAGATCAGTCAAGAATTTGCTGCCATCATGGCTCAGGGCACAGTGCGTGCAAGCGAGGCTGCTGCTCTTGCAACTAGGAGAGTCATGCAGAGATATGGGAGTCTGAATGTTGCCTCACCACGTAGTTAAGAGTAATGTATCATCGGATTACCAAATGCTGCTATTGTAAAAGGAATATTGGAAAAACCCATCACAATGAGAGTATATTTATCATTATGGTCTCTCTGGAATGCCTACGGGCCTAACTTCATTCATCTGCTGATGATGCCTGAAAGTTGATAATGGCTGCCGATATTTAATGGAATAATTTGGATTTTTTATTATTTACCCTGATTCCTCCATTGCAATGGATCTGTTTAGTTTTACAGTCGGCAAAATTGTAAAATGTTGTTACAAAGAGACGGATAAGCAGAGGCTCTACTACCTTTCTTTGACTCTTGAGACTTCCCCATATACAATCTGAAAAGTGGTCGCATTGGTTGGATACCGACGGTGTTCAATCAAGTCTTCTATACAAGGAGCTGTGGTTAATGTTGAATGCATCTCTAGCCCTGCCATCTTCAAACATTGGCCTGTGTTGCTTCACATCTACCATGACAATCTTCAGGTTCTACTCCGGGATCTTTATATTCATCGGTAGGGATGTTGATTCCAGCAAATCCAATCATCACAGCTATGGCTCCCAGATAATCCATGAGACGAGGTGCATGGCCAGTTACGGTATCTACAATAGCCGCCAATGGGACCTGGATTGTAAGACCAGCACTGGCTACTGTCGTGGTTGTTAACAACACAGCTTTCGCCCACAAGTAGTCACTCAGCACGTTGTCCAATAATCCTGTTTCGAAGCCAGAAGAGAGTCAGATTTCGTATGTTGGCCCAAACCAACTTCCTTCCAGACCAAGGTTGTCAACCTGCGAGTTGACCCACGGGTCAACCCAATTTGACCCACGGGTCAACCCAATTTGACCCACGGGTCAACCCAATTTGACCCTGACTCGGTGAGAAAAACGGGCCGCACGCACTCGCCGGGCCGACCGCTATTAGGTACCAGGTTGGAGGTCAAATTGTGTCATTTTTTTCTTTAGTTTGCGAAATGCGCCTATTTTCCAATTTTTCTTTTCTCCTAACTCAATCTTTGGAATACTAAGTTGAACATTTGAATATTTATGTTATATAAGTGTGTGTGAATTTTCACTATATGTTGGATCTAAGTACGATATGTTATTTTGGTGTAATATTATATGTTATAACTCATATGTTAGATAAGATTTGATATAATTTATGAAGATAAGTGTAATATAATGACTCTTTCTATATTTTCGGGCCAAACCGGGCTAAAACGGTTGACTCATTAACCCTTGACCCACTAGCTCGACCGGGTCCAAGTCAACCCGCGGGTTGACAGCCTTGTTCCAGACTTAAATGAGTAGAGCCTTAACTGTGATGTCATATTCAAAAGATGCATCACGGCATCACATCCCCATAAGCAACGAGCTAAGTTCCTAATATATATATTTTTTTGAACTACAATAGGAACAACCAAAAACACTATTGTAATATTTGTTTTTCATGGTTTCCACAATGTTACTTTCAACCCTTGGATCTCACTCTCCTTTTTCATCCAATAGCTCCTTTTGGTCATTCCAAAATCTTAGTGGCTTCTCCTAAACCCCCACTTTGCTTATACTCTCATTACCCCTATTGAATCTCGCCCGCGCCGCCGCGGGGCATCATTCTTGTAACTTAATTTGGAGAACAAAATCATGCAAATACATCTTTTCAGACAAAAGAAAGTAACTTGCCCGATGCGATTTAAAACAGTTGATCCTCCTCCCTAAGACTCTGACGACTCACAAATTCTCAAGTATCTTAATGAGCACATGATGAGTATTTTCGGTGGAATCGGGAATGGGAAAGGACACCACAACAATAAATCACGAAGGGGACCATATACCATCCATACACAATGGTTTGAACAGGGTCAGTGAAAATACTTGAGACATTCTCGGTTCACAATACAAACCTTCTTTACCAAAAGCCAGGGCAGTAAGCAAATATACAAGAAGGGATGTAATTAAATACCTTTGCCAACAACAAGTCCAAGCTGCTTCCACGTAAGTGCACTGAAAGGCTCTAGCTTAGTAAGATGAAGCACAACTGCAACTGGCAGGAAAATGAGGAGATTGAAAAGACCCAGGAATCCAAGGAACTGAGCCATACTGGCCCGACCCTTTTTCTCTTCATCATCTGGTAGTTTTATGCGGATGAGTGTAATGTAGACAGCGTAGAATCCAGCTGATACAAGAGCAAAAACATCTCCAAGAAGAGGCTTTGAAGCAATTGTACTTGGTCCAGATTCTGAGTCACCCAAGCTGACAATAATGGTTCCACCCATGCATAGAAGAACACTAAGAAACTTTACCCAGGTAAACTTCTCGCTCAGGAAAGCTAGGGACACCAAAAAGGTAAACAGACTGGACGTACTGCTCAAAATTGTATTCGACTGCAGATAACAAGAAAAAAAAAAAAATCTGTTATATTACCTCAAATGAGTCGCAGTCAGAACATTTTGAATTTTATGAACCCTGCGTATGCTTACTGTCACAGTCGTATATTTCAGAGACAGGTTGAACATCAGCTGTGCAGTAAACCAGAATGGGCAAATGAGCAAGCTGACCCATGCCAATCTTGTTCGAGTCCACCTCCCTTTGGAGTCAACTCCTTTATTGACACGATCATCTACAGGAAAGGGTGGTTCAACCTCAAAAGATATGATGGTATCCAATCTCGAATCGTGACCACCACTTTCTTGCTCCTCCACCACTTCCTCCTCTACAGGCACGGATGGATTGGAAGTGGATCCATCGTATTCATATTCCTTGCTTAGTTCGGACTCTTCAAGAAGAATATCCTTCTCTGACTCTCTCAGTTCTAATGAAGTCACATTCTTCTTATCCCTCCAGTCCTCCAAATATCGAGCAATTTCAGCTATAGGAAGATACACCACGAACAATGAATTGCAAATATAAGTGATGAGGAACGGGGAAACTCCACCATCAACAACTGACTGCACCACGAAACTAGCAACTATCCAGATGATTGCTACAGCAAAAATGTACACCAAGCCCAGTACCCATTTCCAAACTTTACTTTGCATATCTTAATGACACCCCAAAAGAGGGGAAAGGGGGGAAAAAAGAACTTACAAGTCCAATCAGTCACAGATTCTGAGCAAGAAGATAAGAGGAATGGGAGGGGTTGAATCAAAGGCGCTACCAGAAATTTAGGCAGAACCCATTATAGCAAGGTGATCAAATTCCGCGCATCAGCGACCCTCATTCGGTCGGGAATCCTTCATTGGCATACGCTTCCTAGTAACGAGTCAGCCACAGCAGAATGATAATAATTGATGAAAGGAAGGAATAATGAGCTCGGCACGGTAATCAGAAAGCGACGATTGAATCGTCGAAGTCGATGAAGCACCTGGTTCTTGATTGAACACGGATCTCGGGAGTTCGTCACTGGGCCGTCTCGTGGCTGAGGTAAAATCATGGCTAAGGAAATCGTACCGGACATTATACCGGATTCCTTTCTCGTAGGGCATTTTTTAGTACGATCGTGATTCAATCGTTTCATATCAGTAAATATCATTTTTATAATAATTAAATATATTTTTTGTCAAAAAAACGTACCGGCAAAAACATGATACCTTTTTGAAGTAATACTGAACTAGTACTCAGCCCGCGCTCCGCGGCGGGGTAAGTTTGGCTTCAGTTAGTTTGCGGATTCTCCTATATGACACGAAAATAGTTGATTTAGTTGGTTGAATTCCAAAGCGATCGAATGGGAGATTCATTGCAGCTGATTGCGTAGAAATGTAATGGGGATTTAGTTTGTCATGGCATATAAACAAACTACAGTATTTGATGACCTCGATGAAATCCAAAAGTCTGTGCACAGCACATAAACACATCTGTCACTGTTTTGTCTTTGTTGAAGATAGAGAATAGAAACTGAGTTCGAAATGGAGGATGGTAGGGGTGAATAAGATACTTCAATAGGTCTTTCTGTCACTGGTGCTGATGGTCACTTGTCTATTCTTGAGGTATGCCAAAGTGTTGCTACTCTTATGTGGGGTCTGGCTGTCGTAGTTCTGTTCTTCAGATCTGAGGAGCCGATGTAGAGCTCTCCTGCAAACATTCTGCTACATCTTTTGACCAGCAACGCCTTGGCCGATTCTGCATCCAGTTTTTTGTATTTGTTGGGTGACATTCCGATTATTGAGAGCGTAGTCTCATGGTCCAGTATGGCATCAATATCATCATTTCCTTGCTTGCATTTGACCTCCAACTCGTAGTGCAGCCTAGTTATAAATATAAGTTCAAAAACGTGTTAGCTTATTCAAAGATAGCCTGACTTGCATGAAATGTAATAGTCATATTGAAATACAAAACTTACTCTGGCCAATCCTCAGTTGCTCGGCATATGGCTTTTCGAAATATCATTTGTGAGATGTAGAACTTAGCACGATAGAGTACCTAGTATGAACATCAGATATTGATAAGGCATGGGTCTACGTAAATCGCAGGTGCACAATATAGTCATTTGCTATATATTTTGTCCCTTACGCACCTTGTGGAAAGTCTGATCAGATGCAAGCATAGTTTCTATGTCAGTGAGTGTCTTCTTTTCGATTCCTGATCGAAGGCAGCCTGTTTTCTTACCGGTATTGGCATCCATGTAGTAGACTTGCCTGCGACTATAAAGGAAACTGGTTGTGGCAAAAATAGCAACAGAAGTGTTAGCTGAATTTGTTTGACCCGACTGGGAGCAAGTATGATTCAAAAAATGAATAGAATTCTGTCAAACGGAATGTACATGTGCATGATTTCCCGGACTGGGACTGTATAGGATCTGATAATCAGCTCACTGGCAGGAGTTGATTCGAAACGATACTTGTATTTCTGGCTGGATAGAGGTGCCACCCGAATGACAGATTTGATTGTAACAATGAGAGGCAGATGAGTCTCGGCTGTCGGGGCATTCTCTAAGAACTTCGGTATATTGTATCCACGATACCGAACAGTTGCCTTAGCACCACTGTGCAGTTACACGAATATGTGAGGTCGTTTGTTCATACGATTTGGAAATCAAAATTTTATTCTGCAAAAATTTACCTCACATCCTATATGACCATGTCAAATTCTTTGAGAGTACTTTGAATTGTTGTGGGAACACTGAGATGCCTAATGCATACGGTGATGTCTATGGGCAACAGAAAAATTTGTCATTTTGAAGTTTAAGTTCATTTTACTATGGCGAACGGATATAGGTAATGTACCTGTATGATAGTCGATGGTGTTTGTCTGAAGTGGTACTATTGAAAAAGCCATCCCTATGTCCCAGCCAGCGGGCAAGCGTGGCTCGTCTGGTCCTCCTCAATCCTGGAAATGTTTTGATCGGCGGTTATGTGCACCCTTAACTCTCCTGGAACGATCTTCGGATTTTCTCTTGCTGGTATTGTTTCAACCGAATCAAACCGATAGAGGTTCCCGACCTTTATCTTGCGAGAAATCTCGGTGATGTCTTTTTCATCAACCACTGACTCGATCAATCGTGCCTGTAAGGAAAGCAGTTTAGCGGTTCCTAATTGTGCATTATGTTGGTTTAAAATTGTTTACGAAAAGATTATGTAGTTTTGTAACTGAATTACGGACAAACCTTCTTATCTATCCAAATCATGTGCATGCTAAGATCCTTAAGCTTAGGTGCCTCTCGGTACTCGAGCCACGTAATCACGGGCCTAACAATTACTGTGCGAATGTTGATGCCCAAACGCAGCCCCCGAAATGTCATGCAAGTTTCAATCGGATCTATAATAAGAAAGTAAAGGGAAATGGAATTCATATTTTATCCTTTTTGCAGAGGAATCGAGATTCATGGATGCGTTCTTTAACAAAAATGGAAGGTATTCACCTTTGTTGTCGGTGGGGACCATGTGAGCGTCCTCTATTGACTGGTGGTTTTTGGGCAAACCCTTCATGTTAGGTGGGGTCTCTCTGCAAACAACGTGAGCGGAGATCAGAAGTTGTTTTCTAGGTGTGAAGGCGGTGAAGAAGAGGAGTACGTGCAGTTACCTTTGTTTCGAGACTTGTCTTGTAGTTTCGGTGGTGGGGCTTCCGCGGCAGAGCAAAGCCGATGAAGATGTGGACGGCGGGTCTGGTTGATGAAGGTAGTTAGGGTTTTAATTTATTTGGGGGGTGGTTCTCATGGGCTTTTATCTGTAGGCCTAAAGTATCTTCGGGCTAGGCTCGAAATCATTTCATTATCATGAAAACGCAAAAAAAACGGGTCCTCAGTTTTGGTAAGTGGCTAAGGCCGAAGCCGCTTGGGCCTTAATAAATCCAATATGTTAGCATATGGCCAGAAATTTTAATGGGCCTGAGATGTTTGCAATTTCTGAGGATTAACAAACTATTTGATCCATTATTTAGCCGATTATACTTCTTGACTTACAGCAAACTATCTATGCAACCCTGAAAAACTGATTCTCACAAACAAAGATGAATACATTTCTTTACTACTTATGAGCTAGATATGTAATTGAGACAAGCCATTGACTTCTTTGGATTGACATGGTTGCATCAGGGTATTGATGTAATCCTACAAAACACATAGTTTTTGTTAGGAAAACTTGCTGGCAAAAGTGTCGAATAGCTTGTTCAATTTAATGAACTCACCTAATATATGGTTTAGGTGTTTATAATATCATCAAAGGCCTCGATGAAGACTATGTTCCTTGTAAAATCGTACGGTATTTCTGCTGGGTTTTGTATAAGAATCCTCAAACGTCTCGCTGATTTTACTCTTGAAACTCCCACATACAGCTGGCCGTGGCTAAATACGGGTTCAGGCAAATAAATCCCAACTTTTTCAAGCGTTTGTCCTTGACTTTTGTTTATAGTCATCGCGTAACATAAGCGTACCAGGAACTGCCTCCTCCTGAGTATGAAGGGCCACTTTGAGTTCTCTACATTGAGTACTATTTTTGGTATAATGACTTCGTCAGTGTCGTAGGAACCGCCCATGATGTTTCCTTTTATAAAATTGTCCCCTAATGTTGTGATCATGATCCTTGTGCCGTTGCATAAACCTAGGGCAGGATTTAAGTTGCGCAAGAGCATAACTGGTGTGCATACCTTTAATGTAAGCTCGTGTTCTGGAACTCCATTGAATGTGAGAGTGTTGAGGAACTCTGTTGGATAGCTTTCGTCAAACGAATCCGCTGTTTCTGTTGATAACTGCAATGAATCTGAACTATAATATGTTTTAGAATTGCCTGGTACCCTTTGCAGCATATAGACATTGATTCTAGAAACTATCGCATTCGTTGGCGTCACTATTGCTCTGCTGGTTAGGTATGCTGGATCCCTTTGACTGTCGGGAAACGAATCATATATATCATCTGCGATTGACTGGACAGAGTCATCCCCGGGATCAATTAGGAACAGTGGTGGAATTTGTATCCAATCTGGTGGCCCATCTTCTTTGAACGATCTTGCTCTAAGTCTTCCATCTCCTAAGGCAAGGACCCAATCTGGAAACGTATATCCATGCATTAGTTGTTGATCAGCAAAGTGGACCGCTGTTATGCACATGTTTGTCGATAGGCACATCACTTTAAAAGTATTTCATAGCTTGGACCTAGTTAATGAGCCATCAATCGTTTGTTCACTTCCAGCATCAGTTATAACTGGGAGTGTTTGGCGAAAATCTCCACCAAAAAGAAATGTCTTCCCTCCAAAAGGTTTATATTGATGTCCATTCAGTGGAACATTCAATATGTCGCACAAACTACGATCTACTGCCTCGAAAGCCTGCCGATGGGTCATTGGTGCTCGTCCCAAATGATTAAGGATGCTTCTTTTAACAGGTCAGCTAGATCTGTTCCGTGTTTAATAGGACATGTCGATGTTGCATCTAGAATCAGAGGAATTTTGAACCTTGAATGTTCAGTGGTTGCTTTGGGAATTAGTGTTGCTGCTATGCCCGATGATGCAACCAGTACAACTATCTTCCCCAAGCTTCTGAGTCTTGCTGTAATGACATTATAGAGGTACGTTTTGCCGGTACCTCCATGACCATATAGGAAGAATGCCCGGCCCATCTTGTTGAGGACTGAATTGATGACAGATGTGTATACATTAGTTTGCTCAGGATTCAATGAATGTAGCATAGAGGTTGCTAGTGCACGCTGCTCGTCTGTATCGAAGGCTAGATGCTCGTTAATGAGTGGGTTCTGTCCATCATCATGTGAACCATTAGATGGGGTTGGGAGATTAAAGTCCTCAAGTGTCATTGAATGAGAGCTCAACATAGCCTGCAATTCACGAAGTACCCAGTTCTGTAATCGTTCATTAGTTGGTTCCTGGGTTTGGTCTCTGAGATCTTTGGCTAACCTATATGCGTAATCTTCAGCCTTTGATTTCCATGATGAATTGAATAGAGATGCTGGGCTTGGAGCTTCGCAGAACATTAGCATTGACACGAAAGTGCTCCGGATCACCCGTGGCATGCTGGAAGTCGAAATATCGGACAGAACACGTATCCATTATGAAGTATCTGATAACAGACCAAGTTTTTCACAAGCTTTTTCAAAATCTGGACACAGTTCTCCATTGAAAGTTCTGAGATGAGCATAATTGAGAGCGCCACGGACTTTTGTGAGCATCATTCGGAGGAAAAATACGTCGCCAGAACCTGGCGGAACATATGCAACCCTCCCTATCGCAAATCCTTTTTTGCGAGGGTTCCATTCTTTGCAATCAGGAAGCCAGGTGTAATTATTTGGTATCTGTGCATATGTCAGGACTCTTGCCTGAGGATCCCTGCGATTAAGAGCAAACCATTCTGTCAAGTGTGTTTTTCCGACATTAGGATTCCCCAAAACATTTCGCACATTGGACTGTTTCTTATAAGGTACTTTTTGCTGACCATCCAAGTGAACTCCCAAACGCACCACTGATGGTTCTCTTACATGAATTGGATACTCATTAAGCCTCCATATGGCTTCATAAGCTGATAGCGATCGGCAGTCTATGTACTGTTGGATTTCATCTCTGCGCTTCTCAGATTGCATTTCTGGATTATTTTGCGGTGCATCAGCGTTTTCAGCACTAACCAATGATCTGTCCGGCCCTTTTGTCACATATTTAAAGAGATACTTGATAAGTTTACCTTTGTGACATACCTCAACATTTATATGAGCCTGCATTTTGACCAGCAAATTCCTGTTGTATGGAACAACATGTCGATTGTCAAGTACTACACTTCCCTTTTGAACCTCGACGCCAGTGTTTGATCTTCTATAGACTACATTTCCGAACTTGTCAAATGTTGTGGCTGAGTGGAACTCCTTTGGGAATTGTTTGGAACATTTGCCCTTGACACTTTTTTTCTTATCTCGCATACATGGTGCATTTGTATTTGCTTCACCGCATGGCCCGTGCAACATGAATTTACAGACAGCTTCATATCCAACTAGATCTTGTTGAGGGTCTGGAATTTTGGCTGAGATTACCTCGTCAATGTCGGCTGATGTCCTCAGTTTATTCTCTTCAGACAACCAAACCAACATATGTATATGGGGCAAACCCTTTTTCTGAAACTCCACTGTATACATGACTGTGGCAAAATTAAGAAAGTTAAAATTGCGAATATCCAAATGTGTATATTGGAAAGCATTGAACGGGCTAAACTTGTATATTGATATTAAATGAGCAACCTATACTTACTTGCAATTGTTTTCCCAAAGTAGGAGTTTTTCTTAATGTCGTCTATGAGAATGCTTAGCTTAGCGTGGAAGACCCTTGAAATCACCATTGGTTTATCTGAGCTGTTTGGACCAACAACATCACGAAAGGCTTCGGTGATTTCTTCCCACAATGAATTACAGGTGAATGTGATGAATAAATCAGGGTTTCCAAAGAATTCGACCACTGCCATAGCATCATGGTACAATTGTTGCATATATCGCGGGCTGCCTATGTAGGTGCCCGGGAGTACAATATGGCCCATTTTATCTCCGTCAAGATCACCCCGTGCCATCACATCCTGTAGTCCTTGATAAACCTCCGCTGTAAGCCGTGGCTGATGACAGCACAGAAAAGCCAGCCTGTTTAGTTCTATCGATGAGTAAGCGTCGATACAAAAATGCTGAAGAGCTTTCCCAGCCTGAACAATTGTGTGTCCTTCGCCATTGCGATACTGAAGCCTGAATGCATAGTACTCTCGCTGAGTAACAAACTGCCTCCTCATAGAAGGCGGGCAGAAAGCTGACCTGTATTTGATGAGTGGATGATAACCATCCTCTCCATATGGAAATAGAAGAGGGAAATGTAACGCATCAAATTTTGGATTGAGACTCATGATCCTCTTCAAACCCTCATAGACATGATCAACTATTATATCGCGATCATCTCTGTCTGGTACGAAATCACCTGGTATTAGCGCCGCAACCTCAGTACTGCTAGGCAAATCATATTGCCGATTCCTGCTTTTCGCTCCAAATATCCGTAACTTCAAATTCGTTGTCGAAGAATCCTGAAGTTGCTGCCGAACTCGCCTAAAGGTTTTGACGAGTTGATTATGTTGATCCAGCATTTGGAGCAATGAAGTGAGCAGCTCTGGCATAAGTAGACCATCACGTGATGCGAAGTTCGCCAAGCGATTGTCGATTTCATTCTCCGGTTCAAAAATATAAAGCTAGGCAAACTTTGGTTTTTCACCATCAGGAGGCAGCAATGAACCGATCCTATGATAGTTTTCTCCACATATAACCATCGAGTACGGCCCCCTACTAGAAAGAGAGCGAGGGTCAATAGAAGCACCAAACGATGTAAAACACAATGAACCGTTATATGGTCTGATGTTATCTTTGAAATGCTTAGACATGGCGCCACTATCAAACTGCAGAAGCTCAGCCAACAAACGCGGAGGTTGGGCTATATATGGCAAACCAACACGGCCTTTCTGACAGCAGAGTCCATAGATAGGATCAGTTGTTGCTCGGCGGCGATCAAGCCTCTCCACATCCCAAAACAAAGCACCACAGAACTTGCAAGCACATTTTGGTTGACCTATGTTCAGAATATCATCATGGAGGGGCTTTCTAGCCGTGGGAATGGACCTAAAACAGGATGAGGTTCCAGATGAGTTCTCCAAATGGCAACTATCAATTTTCTGCTGTTCAGCTTGCTTCACCTGATTATTATTTTCGTTACATTCAGCTACCACATTGGGTTCCCCTTGCTCCAGAGAAGAAATATGGCTCGTTGAATTCTTGGAGGCCAATTGTTTTAAAGTCTGGTAGCGCGATTTCCTTGGCCTTGAAGATTCTGATAAGGGAAATACAAACAAAAGAGAACATTACAGTAAGGCTTTTCTATAATCGAAGATCGATAATGCTTGATGTCTTCATGAGAATCTTATAATTCAGATAACAATGGTATGGTGGTAGTGCATTCATCACCTGATGAAGATGGTAGGACTAGATGAAGAGACCGTGATGGTTCATGTGTATCATTCTCAGACAAAGGATTTACGCCCCCAAACGATGTCTTAGGAACTGCTGAACCATGTAATGGATGTTCCATAAATTCAATTCTGGCTCTTTTATTTGTTAAAGTCTGATAATGAGTCTTTCTTTTCTTGGGAGGCATTGCTGCACAGAAAAAACAGAAACCAAACATGATCAGAGTCATTACTGTCGGAAAGTTCAAATAGTATAGCCGAGACAGTTGAATGAGGAAGAGTTAGAGAAAGATCATAGAAATCATCTTCACTCATTCGTCAGACTCATCAATGAGGATGTCAGATAAAAATCCAGGTTACCTTTGTCCTATTTAGTCCATCAAACGAAGGATTTGAGCGAACAGATGACAGATGAAGTACATGGTGAAGTAAAGGAAGTTCCTGAAGAAAGTGGCATAACCCATTGAGGAAGAAGACATATATTAATATGAAATAGCTACCATGGATATGTGAGCTATGTATCATCCTTATAATAGCATTATAACGTGAAAAGATCTAACATGTTGTTCGATTAATAAAATGATGAAAAGCAATCAGATTAGTTTAATCTTTCGCACAAAAAGAGGCTGCATTATATTATGTTAAGTAAGAAATATCAAGAGGTGTAAGAAAGATAAGGAAGATGTCTTCGTAATATAAGTCGTATTATAGATCGGTTGAAACGTTTCTTTCGTTTGAAACATACATAGTCAGTCCGAATTGATACGAAGTGATACCGAATTGCAGCTTAACAGTTCTGGATACAGTCTATCGGCTCCTCAAAAATGACAGTGTCTCTATTCGAACTGACTAAGAGACATTGAGATAAACCCCCCGCCCTTCTTCCGTCAACAGTGGAGGTATTCTAAGGAAAGAACAACCAGATATGCTATGGAAAACAGGAACACGACCTCGCTCATATTAGCATCCAACAACATTTAATGAAGGCAATGATTGCTAGACAGTAGCCTCAGGAAGATCAAAATGCACGAAATCACCATATAAACATCAACAACAAATGACCAAACATTAGCTAATTAGGTGCTGGTTATCCAATAAAAGATAGAAGGCTATACAAACCACAGGTACACAAATATTGTATCTTCTGATAATATCCACATAGATGCAACCATTACATTCTCGAAACCCAGGGTCCAAAATGAGAATATCCATGTAACTACAAGCGCTGCATTCACGAAACCTAGATATCCAAAATACGATTGTCTAAACAAGGAGAATAACTTGCGTAAACAAAGCAAAATATGTCATCTCCTTGAAAATCAGGCAGCAGCATTTCCGAGAACATCATCAACCGCAAAGAGAAGGATTGGGGCCATACGTGCAAACTTCAATCCATAACATAGCTACTTCCTGAAATAAAATAAAAATAGCGAAGGAATGAGATACACAACAGCCACGACAATGTAATCGCAAATCAAGCACGGCAGTAAACCAAATCAAACTAAGAAAATAAGAAAAGACTTTGACGCTATCACCACCTCTTGAACAAAGCACGTTTCGCAGTTGGATTTTTCTGACTGTCAACTGGAGAATCCTCTTCCATCTCAGCACCAGCCTGCGAGGAACCGCCATGTGGTAGAGGAGGAGCATCAGCATCGTCTAACTTCTCCACCTTGATCTTGGCCAGTGGAGAAACCAATCTGGAACCAAACATACCTCATAGCAATGAATATTAAGGGGAAAACACAAAAACTTTGGAAAATACTAAACTGACTTCTGAACACCTACAATGACGCAGACGAAGAGCCAGCGGCTAAACCAGAGGTCTTCCCAGGAGATGACTCAGGGGATGGCTTCAGAATCTTTGCAGCAGATGTCAACGAACCATGACCGACATCCTCAGGGCCGGCAGACTCATCGATTCTGGATGTACGCTTGGTAATCATCGAAGGAGAAGATCTGCTAGATGGTGTACATGACTGGGCTGAAGAAACAACGGGTACAGCCGCAGCAGCTGGGCTAGAGCCAACCTGTACACTAATCCCCGAGGAATGAGATCTCCCGAGAATCTTGGGGCCAGCAACAGCACCTTCGCTTTCGACATTTGCAGGAGGAGGAATATGCAAATCCTCGACTCTCGGACTGGGGGAAAAAAGGCAAACAACTTAGGTCACATTCTCCAATAGTTCCATTAATGAACAGAATAAGTATCGCCAAAAAATGCGAATACCTAACAGCCTCGTCTGGCCCTTCAGTGATGCTAAACGGAGCTGCTGATACCTCAGTGAGCAGAACACCTGAAACCTTTTCCTTTCCCTTCGCAACCCTTGAGAACATGAACAGACAGTTCATAAGACATAGCCAACAAAACGAAGAACATAAGCAGGAAAACAAAACAGTCAACACCAACCTAGATGAAACTGAAGAACCACCTGCGACGCTTGTTGCACCCATAGTTAAAGTTGGAACAGCAGCAACAGGACCACGTAACGGAGATTGCGAAACCAAATCGCCAACCACCGAAGGGTCATCAAGCGGGACAACCTGAGTTACACGGAACTCGCCCGAAGAAAAGCCAGTAGGACCAGGCAATGGTAACTTACAATCAAACTTGACATACTGCCCTCGTAATTGATGCAACTGCGGGGGCAGCTGACCAGGACGATGAGGAAACCTCTGGGCCAGATGTGCAGCGGAAACATTAATCAACGAATGGGCACAACCACCTATCAGTATGAACCGAGCCTCGCTAGAGTCATCCCTCAAAGTAAGCTGGAGCTTATAACTGAGCAAAAAAATGTGTTAGCAAAAAAACTTAAAACAGATAGGATATCGGCGCTAATAAGACGCAGTCATACTTGACTCGGGTTTGCTCCTCTTCCAGCTGCCAATCTTTTGGGCACCAAAACGAATTGTCACGACACTTTGAAACTGCTCTCGAACATAGCTTGCACGAAATGTAATACCAAGGAGTACTTGACTCGACATCCACAATCACTCCACCACAACGATACTTCTCTTCCTAGCAAAGCAAAGAAAACTAATTCATTTCCAAAAGAAACAATGAGAACACTTAATTTTTCAGAAAGAATAGTAATAAACCAGTGAGGAATTCATTCGAGACAAGCTCAACAGCTGATCCAAACTCTTGGTACGTCGATCTGCATCAGCAGTAGCGTCAGCAGCGGTAGCAAATTCCACTAGCAAGGACTCAACAACTTCATGCTTTTCAGCGAACCTAAAACAAACATAAGCAGTATGAACTTAACTATAATGCCGCTCATACATAAAATGAACATCCCAACAGGTTACACAAAATCAGAAATGGCCACAACCAACATACCTAGATGCAAGATAGTAAGCCTTCGGTACAGGAGGGTTGACTGCTATGCGTGTACCAGCTGAGCTCGAGAGAATATAATCATCTGAAACAGAAAACAAAAGACGAAGAGAAATCAGCACACACCAACATTCCTCGCATAACCCCGATAGGAACACACGCACTCTAGAGAGAAAAAACACACCCCCAACTTATTAACCAGCAAGCCACCGAATGCGAGAATCACAGCTTCAATCGAGTCAGCCTGAGTGAGTGCAACATGGTCCAACACCGCAGAAAACTCATCCCAAAGTGTAATAGTAACCTTCGCTCCACTGAGAGGGAAAACACGGGGACACATGAGGAACAACATAAAAGGAATATGAGACACACAGATAAACCCTAAAACCGAAGGAAACCTAGCGAACCTTTCATCCTCGATGATAACCGTCTGCTTGACTGCAGGGCCGTTATTAGTGATTTTATGCGATATTCCACTGATTGAATGGAGTCGGCCAACGACATCTACGAAAATAAAACGAAGACAAAACATAAAAACACAAACAAAAAACATTCA